GCCGGACACCTCCTGCCGGGAGAGCGAGAGGGTCAAGGGAGGCTGGCCCAGGAGCCGGCCCCCCGCGTCCCCAGCGAGCCTCTCCCCTGCCTGCCCGGAGGAGGCGGGCGCAGGGCACTTCCCCAGCTGAGGAGAGCGAGGAGCAGCGCCGCGGCGAAGCTGCTGGGTCTCAGGGGTGCAGACATGCTCGGCGGTAGTCGGCGGAAGGGCCCCTCGGCGTGTCTGTCCTGCGGGCGGAGAGAGGCTGGAGGCGGGTTCCCTCGCGGCTCAAGGCGGCGTGCTGTTTTCCGAGCGCCTTGTCTCTGCGCCTCGCCAAGTCCCTGACTCTCTGGCTGGAGAGTTGCTCAATGGGTCTGAAGCCGGGAGCCGGGCTGCTTTTATACACTGCAGGCGGCCCAGCCTCGCCAATCGGCTGAATGGAGTCCTACACAAACAGGGACATTCCTGGCATTCCTCCCCACCTTCCTGCCTCATCAACTCGCACCGGATTGATCCTGACCCCTTGACACTCACATTCCTCCTGTCTGCAAAAGCTGGCACACTCCAGCACACAAAAAAGGCGCTGTATTTCCATCATCGAATGGGATTTTTCCCTGTCTTCCAGCCGCCCACTCCTGATTTTATATGATGTAAAATACTTTATTATAATTATGTTCATATGACAAACCTCTATTTCAAACGGCTTCTGCCTTGCCCTCCCTATCTCCAAATTACATAAATCATAGAATAGCCACTTCACTACAAGACACAATCCCATGGGAATTCTGAACCAGCTGAGACATCATAGGAGAGGAGAGGATACATTTGAACCACCACCAGCAACCCTGGAAACAAGAAAGGAGCTGTTTTAAACCCCACAGAAGTTCAAAACCTACCAACCAACCAACCAAACTGCATGTCAAATCTGTTGTGAACTCAGCATTTTTCATTACACTGCTGCTGATTTTAATACTATATGAGAAGGTGTAATTTAGAGGGAAAGTGGTTAATGGATATCTTTAATCAAGATAATTATCTTTCTAATAGTTGAGACAAATTTTCTATAACTAAAATTGACATTTTATTTTGAGGGGTGGTTCCATTATTCTATCTTTCTTTAATATTAAAAAATACTGATCAATAGTAGGTAAAAATGTTTTTTTATTCAACACAAGACATTTATGCTAAGATAGGCAGCTAGTTCAAGTGGGGGGAGCAGGGAGAAAGGTTGTGGGGGTGGTTGCTAGGCACAACCATGGGAATTCTTTTTTTCCCCCTTGACTAAAAAATACAAGAGACTACTAATTTTAAAAGGTGGATTGCTCTCTACCGACTTATTTAGAGAGTGGGTGACTAGCCTTCCCTAGATACACACTTTTTCCCTTTGGCAATGAATTTTGGAGCACTGACACGCTGGGCATTTTGTTACTACCAAAAAAAGTCATAATTATATAATGGGGAATGGTTATAAATTGAGCCTGTGTGCTACTGAATCATACTGAATATTTGAAATGTGTCCCCTTCCTAATAGATGCTCTCTATGAATAGAGAGAGTGCCTATTTACCCTGAAATACTTGGCACAATGAAGTGAGGCTAAAGCATGGAAGAAGTTGCTCTTATTCCCCACTGCTTGCTTGCAGCTGTCATTTATGAGTAACACATTCCTAGGGCATCTCTGCTTCCTAATCTTGCTGATGATGTCTTCTAAAATTAAAAGTCAGTCTGACTTGTCACCAAAACCTATAGCTCCTTAGTATCTTAGTCCTTGTTAAATAGCTTCCCAATCCTGCATCATTTGTCTGCGCAGTGATGTCATGTTGATTGACCCCAGCTTCAACACAATAAATGCCAGCATGTTGACTTTTGACCTGTTTAAGTATGCTCATGTTTAATGAGACAGAGTTAATGCACTTTCTTAGGCAAATTGAAGTCTAGAAGATGGATATTTTTAAAAAGATGTTTGTATATAGCCACTCTGTCCTCCCACACGTTCACACTGTGATACAGCAAAATGGAGTTACAGTTTTACAGCCTATCTAAATTAACTAAATTCAGAAAGTGATCTCATCTCTCTTACAGAATTTTAACAAACTGAATCAGTCCAGTTCCATTATAAATAACCATAGATGACTCATGGTAGCCCTTGGGAGATGCACTGTTCCCCTGGGTCCCTGCCAAAATTTTAATTTCTAAATGGGGTACCTCCAAATGCTCCTGCCCCTTGGGTGTCCCTCCCTGTACCAGTCCGCATGTACAGGTCACCCCTGTAAATAACATCATTTGCATGGTTATGTTATCAACAGTTCATACTCTGGGCCTAATTTTTAAATATAGAGGTCTTAAGGAAAAATCTAAGTCCCATTTTTGGATGCTCAGATTGGTACTTGGGCTAAATTATGTCCTCAGGTACATACATCAACAGACTTGTTGCTTTTCTGAGGTCAACATTTGACCATTAAGCATTTGTAGCCATTTTATAGGCCCTATCCAGCTTTGATGGAAACCAATGGGAAATCTTTTGTTCAATTTTAATGGGTGTTAGACTATACTGTAGTACTAACATGATGATCTGAATGCCTAACTGCAAGATTTGATTGTCCTGTTTAGACACTTGTATATGAAATTAGGTCAGCTGTATGGTAGCTGATATGTGAAGAGTTCTGAAACGATAAATATAATCTCTCCTCATGAAAGTGTGTGTGACTTTCGTTAATGTCACTTAGGAGACTGAGTGTTTGTGAAGGGAAGAATGTACCTCAAAGTCTCTTTCATTTTAAAAGCCAATATTATATATTATACTGCAAAAGTGTTTGTGCCTTTTTGTGCCTTTTTGTCTTTGCTTTCTGGTTAAGGTTATGTCATTGCTTCTGCTCAAAACCCCTTTTTTCATTAAAAAAATGGCATCTTTGATGTTTAAAAAATTCAGAGGAACGGGTATGGTAAATATATTTCCAAATTATGAATCTTCCCAAAATCCATATTTACCTAAAGACTTTGATGACCTTAGTACTAGGTAAATAATATACACACCTAAATATGTATAAAATGCATACCAAATGCAAACGTAACCAGGTAAACAGTCTGCCTTTAAAAAATATGCCTAAAAATGGTCAGAGATCATCAGAGAGAGGCTTCAGACATGTTTCATAAATTTCTTGTGTAAAAATTATTTTCAAGGAAATGGTTTTTTTCATTAAACAAAAACCTAAGAAGTTCACTGACAGAAAAAAAATGTGTAAAAGTAACAAACCACCAGAAAGCCAGGAAACCCAAAGTGAAGGGCCAAGTCAGTCTTTAACTTGAATTGCACAATGGGCTAAATACAGCAGTCCTCGTCACCTGTTGTTCACTGTCTTCAGTACGAATTTGGCTGCAGGACTAATTCTGGGCTTGTTTACTCGGGTGTAAACTGGAACTAATCTCACTTGAATTTAAGGTGTTTAACCAGCATAAATATGCACTGAATCCTACCCTGCAGAATTTATTTCTTGCACTGTTTATAAATGACTTTGCAAATAGGGACTTTTTCAAACATTACACTTCTCTAGCCTGTCTGTATTGATTAACAGAATCATTGTTTGAAGAATTACATCCTGAAGTTGATTCACAGAAGGTTAAAATGCACTAATATCAAGTTATATACAGGTGTTTATACAGCAAATGCTTTTTAGACCATATATTTTTTTTGGTGAAATTAAGAATTCACTATGTTGGCAACATATCCCTATTGATACAGTTATACACGGTATGTGTGTGCCTGCACCAACTTTGGTTGGTACAGTTCCTTTGGTTAAGTCTTATAAAATGTACAGGTGTGGATATTCTACATTCCTTCCCTTATGTTTTTCCTTCCTTTTTTTCCCCTTACCCCAAAAAAGTCACTTGATCAAGTATCAGACATACTGAAAACCTGGCAGGACTACAGGAAAGTGGCTAGACTTGGAGTGTTTGTGTACTTAAAGAAGGAATCTTGCACATTTTCAACTTTCAGTCTCAGATATTTTCTTATAAGAGCAATTGGAGGTCTGAGCCAGCCCTCAGAGCGGAAATCAAAAGCTCCCAGAGAAACATACCCAAGGAATGTGAATCTGATCCAGGAACCATACGCAATGCACATACAGTGCTGTCTTCCTTATAGGAAGTCTGTCCGTATATGGACATCTGTACCCTGAGCTATTTGTCATCATGATGGCCTTGCAGATATTTCTAGATTGCCTCAGGTTTAACATTAATTTCCCTATCAAAAAGCTCTTCAAAGTATTTCTTAAATTGTAATAAACATTGTCCTAAAATCTAAGGAATCCAGTTCAACTTACATCAACATGTATTTGCTTAAAATAAAGTCTCAAAGCAAGATTTGCTGTGCTAGTGCAGAAGTAGAAATGAAATAAAAATAAAAAGCTGTACTCTGCCTTGAATTTGCTGCTCTTATGTTTGTCT